TAAATGTTCCTTGATTAAATTAAATTAAATTAAATGTTCCTTGATTAAAATCTGCCTGTCCCATTAACTCCTGTGAAGAAAAAAAAGTCACATACAGGTAATCCTCGATTTATGACCAGAATTAAGTCTAAAATTTATGTTGCTGAGACCATTCTTAGGTGAGTTTTGCCCCATTTTGTGACCTTTCTTGCGACAGCTGTTAAGTTTGTTTGTTTGTTTGTTTGTTTATTAGATTTGTATACCGCCCTACTCCCGAAGGACTCAGGGCGGTGAACAGCCATGAAATAAAACATATAAATACAAAATTTAAAATAGAAATAAAACAAGTTAGATAAATTTGGCTGAACCATATTTAAAACCCCAATAATTTAAAACCAAATTTAAAATTCCCATTTAAAAGAGGAGAAGTTTAGGTCAGGCCGGCTTGCTGGAATAGGAACGTCTTCAGCGTGCGACGGAAGGTACGCAGATCCGGAATCCTCCGTATCTCGGGGGGGGAGCTCGTTCCAGATAGTAGGTGCCCCCACAGAGAAGGCTCTCCCCCTGGGGGCCGCCAGTCGACATTGTTTGGCCGACGGCACCCGGAGGAGCCCCTCTCTATGGGAGCGTACTGGTCGGTGGGAGGCTATTGGTGGTAGCAGGCGGTCCCGTAGATAACCAGGTCCTAAGCCATGGAGCGCTCTAAAGGTGATGACCAAAACCTTGAAGCGCACTCGGAAGACCACCGGGAGCCAGTGCAGCTCGCGCAGGAGAGGCGTTACATGGGAGCGCCACGTCGCTCCCATCACCACCCGCGCGGCCGCACTCTGCGCCAGTTGGAGCCTCCGAGTGCTCCTCAAGGGGAGCCCCATGTAGAGAGCGTTACAATAGTCCAGACGGGAGGTGACGAGGGCATGAGTGACCGTGCGTAACGAGTCCCGATCCAGAAAGGGACGCAACTGGCGAATCAGGCGAACCTGATGAAAAATCCTCCCGGTCACGGGATTAAGTGAATCACTGCAGTTGTTAAGTCAGTAACATGGTGGTTGTTAAGTGAATCTGGCTTCCCCATAGTCTTTGCTTGTCAGAAGCTGGCTGGGAAGGTTGCAAATAATGATCAAATGACCCCAGGAGAGTGCAGCTGTCATAAATACAGGCCAGTTGTCAAACATCAAAATTTTGATCACGTTACTGTGAGGATACTACAATGGTCATAAGTGTAAAAATGGTCATAAGTCACTTTTTTCAGTGCTGTTATAACTTTGAATGGTCATTAAATGGAATAGTCATAAGTTGAGGACTACCTATAATATACTTAGTGGTTGGACTATAAAATCTCCAAGTTTCCTTCCAACCCTATGATTCTATGATTATTTACAGTATTTCCATGTTGTCACTAGCATTAACTCAAATTAGTGATTTCCCAAGCCACTATAAAGTAGATAACATGAATCAGGAAATGAGATCATAGTTAAAAAAAACCTATCAAGAACCCTTTTGAAGCAATCCAAGTTTATTCTGTTCACACAGTAGGTAAGTTACAAGCAAGACATGACAGCAATAAAACTCTGCAAATCATGTTCCCTGGTAATTTGTATTCAGTATTGCTTTTGATATAGATATTATAAATCTTACATGCCATATGAAATCTGGTCCTTAAAAACTCTTTGTCACTTCTACAGATTATTATTCATGGAAACCATAGATTTACGCAGTTATTTATTCAAAGGAGAAGAAAACCCTACACCCTACATAATAAAGTATTAAGAAACACCTTCATCCATTCAAATCAATAGAGTAGCACAATTCTGTAATACTAACCACATATTGGTTATTATATTTTACAATATGTACTCTAGCAACAAGTATTTGACTAGAAATAAACGAAGGAAAGTATTATAACTTAATAAATTGCAATTGGTGTTTTATATCCCTTTCTTTTTTTAATGTGTTTTTGTTGCTGTTCTTTATGGAACCATCCAGATTCCACAATTTATGAGAACTGTTACATGAGAAAAAGAGGGGTTTTATTGTTTTATTTAGCAGTACTTGTTGCATTTCAGAAATACATTGTGACTAAGGAAATTCTTTGGAAGCAGTGAAGTGTTGCTGTGTTTCCAAAGATGGGTTGTTTATTAGTAGTGGAAAATCAAACCAAGAGAAAAGACATTGTGAAACAGATATGCAAATTATTTATCAAAACCAGCTCTGTTAACCTAAGCAAACGCTTTTTAATGTGAGAGATTCCAATTGTTACTAATACATTAGAAGTATACAGCCATCAAAGAAAACCTAGTTATTATCTAGCTAGCCCATTCATACCCAAACTAGACAGAGCAACAGGCAGATTGTGTTTAATCTATGTAATCAGAAAAATAATCTATCTATTGGTAATTCTCAATTTAGAATCATTTGTTTAGTGACTATTCAAAGTTACAACAGCACTGAAAAAAGTGATACAACTGGTCCTCACACTTACAATCACTGCAGCATCCCAAAGTTCACCTGATCGAACTACTGGAACTCAGCAGCTGGCATGCCCTTACAACAGCTGCAGTGTCTCCGGTCAAGTAATTTGCCTTTGTGACTTCCCCAGCCATCTTCTGGCAAGCAAAATCAAGGGGAAGGTTGGATTCACTTAACAACTGTGTGATTCACTTAACAACTGCAGCAATTGGTTGTTTCATTGCTAAAATATTCTTATGTGACATTAGTAAAAGAATATGTCTTTCAAGATCACTGTATACAATTTATTTTTAAGAATACAAACCTCACAAATAAATGAGAAGGCATAAGCTTCATATGGTGAGAAAGCAGTAATTTGAGTAGCCCAACATTTGGGCTATTATATTTATGAGAAGGAAGGATTAACAGTACTAATTATCGGCATTATTATCCACAGTGAGCCAAACAATATAATATAATGGGAAAGAGAATATAATACCACTGTATAATATGCAGTAGTGGACCAAGTGAAACATGCACACAAGGGAAGAATAAAAGATGTATGTAGCAAGGTACATTCCTCAAGTTTCGATCATGCTTCAGTCCAAAATTTATGTTGCTAAGTGAAACATTTGTTAAGTGAGTTTGCCCCATTTTATGACTTTTCTTGCCAGAATTATTAAGTGAATCATTGCATTTGTTAAGTTAGTAACATGGTTGTTAAGTGAATCTGCCTTCCCCATTGACTTTGCTTGTCAGAAAGTTCCAAAAGCTTGAATTGTAAAACATGACCCCAGGACACTGCAACTGTCATAAATATGAACCAGTTGCCAAGTATCTGAATTTTGATCATGTGATCATGGGGATGTTGCAGTGGTCATGTGAAAAATGGTTATAAGTTACTTTTTTCAGTGCTCTTGTAACTTTGAAAAGTTTGCTTTGGCCAAACTTTTCAAGTATTATTTTGAGACCAGCACAACCTTTGCTGTGAAACCAGAAATCAGAATATGGCACATGGGTTCATCTAAAATAAATTGGTTCCATTATACAAGGAAGTCAGTCATGTCAAACATTTTTTTTTAAAAAAACCCTGGCGAATCTTTTCCCAATGTAAAGATGCCACAATTAACTAACTGTAACACTGACTACACTGAAAAGGTGGGAGAGGATTTGCCAGTTATCTACATGCATGTTTCACATTTGTTTCTTATATTTCACTTTTCTTGTAAGAAGCTTTATATATTGGTGAATGATCTCATTTGTTCAGTAACTTCTAACTAACCATAGAAAAGAGCAGATGTTATTTTTTGCCAGGATTTTAAAAATACAAGGCATGAATTGAAATTTATTTAGTGGGGACTTAAACTCAACACTGGTGCCAAAATTGCAACAATGCCTGGGAGACAAGGAATGTCTTAGCCTGAGGTCAGCCAAAATGACAGCATGTGGGTGCCAGAAGAGCCTCTGCGGGGCCGGGGGGGGGGCATTCCACGAACAAGTCTTCGCAAAGAGAAAGGCTTCTCCCGGTTTACTTTCCTTGGCAAAGACACCAGGAAGAGAACTTCCAAAGGCATCCAAAACATCCACCCAAGTTCATAAGTAACTTTATCCGTACACCCAGCACAGATAAACCAATCTGGTCTCCAATCCAAACTCCAGCAGGTGTTTCTCTCTCAAATGCAACCCAAAGCTTGCTTTAAACCTTCCGAGACGCTTGAAAGGAATCAGATGCAGGAAAGATGAGGCTACACAGCTCCTTTGCAGGTGCAGCTTCGGGATCTCCTCTTCTATTACTCTCCCGAGACCGAAATCCCGCCCTCCGTTTCAGGGGCTCTCCAAACCACCTCCCAACGCTCGGAAAGACGCGAGGCTCTGAACACCCCCCGCCCCCAAATTCACTTAAAGGCTTGTGGGAAAGAAAGTAGAGCGCCACACCTCCCCCCGCCTTCACTCTCTTCTCCGTCTTCCCCGGCGGTAAAGAAAGAAGCGGGTGGCGTCCCGCAGCTGGGAGAGCTCTCCCGCAGGCGAACGGGAGCGGGAGCAAACTCCAGCCCTTGAATACCCATCAAGCGGGATTTTGCCAAGTCGGCGCAAACTCGGCTCGAAGTTTCCATGGAAGCGGACGGAACACGGCCCTAACTAAACGTTACAGCGTCGAACAGACACGGAGCTGCATAGCTTCTTCCCGACTAACTCACCCATGCCGCTGGGCTTCGTTTTCTTCTCCGACGGCCGAGCCGAGAGATGCTGTCCCAAAGAGAAGGAGCAGGAACTCTCCGCCACCCGCCTCTAAAGCCACCGCTTTCTCTACCCGTTTCCCAGGCCGGGCGTCAGCAAAGCGGAGGCGGGTTCAGAAACCCCTCCTCCGTTTGCCTCATCCCACTCGACCCGGGGCTGAGTCCCAGAGCGCTGGGCGTCAAAAGGCGCCTTTCCCAAGTCGAACAGGAAGGCACGTTCCGCTTGCCCTCGACAGATGGCACATGAACCGTACACTCATTTAGAAGTTGCGAGTACACCTTTATAAAGCCTGCTTAATTTAACTGCCACTTTTACTGCACTGGAAGAACAGCAAGCGGCTATGGGTGCGAGAAGAGGCAACATGCGCCCCTTTCTCCACCTGCCTCGGGGAAGGGAAACCATGCAGCCGCGCCTCCCGTGTCTCTTGTTCGATTCTCGGGACTCTGCAAAAGGAAAATACGGGCTGTGAGCGTTATTTAGATTTGCTACTCCCCTCAGCCGGAGAACAGAGCAACTCCCGCATGGAAGGAACAGCCACTTCCATCTCTACCTGTTGACTTAAGTTCTCCTTTTGAACAGAGAAACATTAGGATCTTAGCCCTCAGCAAATGGAGTTGGATCCTTCTTGTGATGGTTTCTCTTCGGAAAGTTAAAGGCATCCATTTTCTTCCCAAATCACAAACACCTTAAATCTCCCAAAACAGAGAAAAGGGCATTTTTTTTTGTACCCACTTGGAGGAGAGGGGGGGAGATAGTTTTTGGAAACTGCCAATGAAATACGGTATTTCTACCTTACATACTCATTACATGTTCGTGTCACATATGTACCTGAGGTTAACTGATCTGTAGATTACTCTAGTTCTCTGACACATTGAGCCATACAGTACATACATTCACAATAAGGCTAAATTATAATGTGGATGGCTAGTTTATGGTTTGTCAGGGTATTTGACAAACCCACATAATTGTGCTAATTCAGTAAATCATAGATTCTTAATCACATAAATCAAATTCGATCTCTTAGTACAATTACAAATAATATTTATTAGATTTATAACACTTCAATTATAACACTTCAATTATAATTGACTCAAAGTAATATACTACCATATAAGACCTGGAGTCTTATAATCAGAATCAGGAGAGAATCAAGAGAATCAATGCACCATTATGCATTGGTGTATTAAATCAAAAATCTAGTTGATCTAGTAAATGCTATCCCCAATTGTACAGAATTTAAAGCAGGATTTGAAAACGGGTTTTGTGTGGTATACAGCAGCAAATAAACTTGAAATGGACCCATCACACATTGTCAGAATCCAGCAATATGGCTAAGATAGTGGCATTGTTTGCAGCATCCCCATAGCCTTATTGTGAATGTATGTACTGTATGTCACGTCATCAAAATTCAGACACTTGGCAACTGACTCATTTATGATGGTTGCAGTATTACGGGTCACATGATCTCCTTTTATGACCTGACAAGCAAAGTCAATGGAGAAACCAGATTCATTTAACAATCATGTGACTAACTTAACAACTGCAGCGATTCACTTAACAACTATGGCAAGAAAGTTTCTAAAACGGGGCAAAGCTCACTTAACAAATGTCTCAGAAATTTTGGGCTCAATTGTGGTCGTAAGTCAAAAGGAACCTGTATTAGGTTATTAGATGGATATTTTGTGAATCAAGCCCACTAAACTCACTAAGTCCATTAAATTATTTACAGAATTAAAGTCTGTAAATATCTGTGATAAGTAGTCTAAGCTATTGCTATCTCTAATTACATAATGAAAAAAATATGTTATTACAGCACTGTCATTGATTGCTATAACAGTTATAATAAGTTACTGTTATAACTTTATTGTAACTGCAGCATACAACACTGTTTGGAAGGACAGATTGTTATACATACAATCTACTGCAAAATTGACTAATTAATAACATGCTGAGTGATACGTCGCCCTCCACAAGGCTCTGTAAGGGCACCTGCCCTATTTGATTTATACATATCTAATATGCCAGTGAGAAGGGAAAGCAAATTTGGATACACTGATAAATTGGTCACAGCAGTACAAGAAAAACACATGGAGGTGGCTGACAATCTCCTGTCCAAAGATCTTAACATCTTGGGAAAATTCCTCTTGGGGACTCACTCCTACCATTAGCAAAACGGTAACTATATGCTTCCACCTTAACAACAAACTAGCATACGACGCCCCGAAGGTCTACTTAAACAACAACTTACTCCCCTATGATTATCCAAAGTACCTTGAAGTAACATTGGACCGGACTCTCTCATACAAGATACACCTAGAGCAGGGGTGTCAAATTCAAGGCCTGTGGGCTGGATCTAGCCCGCAGGGCCGTCCTGGAAATAACAAAGGTGTCAGTCCTGGAAACCATCTTTTACTTTGGAACTTCAGGGCTGCCACATTTAGTGCTGTGGGAAACAGGGAGGGGGGATTGTATGCAGTTGGAGAGATATCTAGCCATAATAACATTCTTTTCTCTGAGAGTCAAGGACATCCTGCCCTGCACCTGGAGTGGTGTGACTGGGAGGCATCTCCAGTTGGGATGGTGTATTGATTGGACTATGTGATGGACATGTGGGTGCTGGGGCAGGGACTTAGACTTTCTTTTGGGTGGAGAAAACCTGGAAGCTTTTAGATTTGGGTTTACCCAGATGTGCCAACATGACATCTCTGATAAAATGGAACTTTGAGGAATTTCTAGCCTCAGAATCTTCTTTCGTTGAGGGTGTTACTTGGAACCCTGACAAAAGGACTGGCCCGTGATGCCTCTACTAGCACCCCCCCTGTGGCCTGTTTTTAGCCTGTACAGCCTCCTGCAGCACTCTCCTGGCCAAAACGGGAGAGTGGGGGCCTCCAGAGGCCCGTTGCTGGCCAAAATGAAGCTTCCATGGGCACATCCAACCCTCCGAGGCCTCCACAGGTCTGTTATAGGCCAAAATGGCACCTCCACAGGCCTCCCCTGGCCTGTTATTTCCTGTATAATGAGAGTGAGGGAGGATCTCAGGGAAATCCTACCTTTGCACTGGCCACCACAGGTACCCCCCACAAGTCCTGTGCCACGCCCACTATGGCCACGCCCCTGGGCATGCCCCAACCCCGGCCCTCCGAGGTCAAACACAACCCTGATGCGGTCCTTAATAAAATTGAGTTTGACACCCCTGACCTGGAGAATACAGCAGCAAAAATCAATAGTAGGAATAGGGTTGCCAGGTGTCCACTATTTGAGCAGACAGTCCGCTTTTTTCACATTATGTTCACTATTTTTTTTCACAAAATAGTGGACATTTTTTTTATTCAAAAGCTTTATGATGAAATGGCACGTAAGTTTTGCGAGTCAGAATTCCATGAAGTTTTGCGCCATGTTCCAACACATTGGTTAAGTTTGTTTAAAGCGGTCGAAAGACTTCTTTTAAACTGGATACCTCTAAAATCGTATTTTATTTCTCTTGGATCTGATGAGTGCCATAAGGTTATCTGGAACCTTATTTCGGATCAGGAAAATGACCTCGCAAAGGACGATGAACCAATAATTTCAGAATTGTATTTATATTTCACGCACTTCTCCATGTCAATAATGCAAGACACCCTACTTCCGGTTGGTGACTTGCGGCGATATGGTGTCGAGTGAGTGATCGCTACTCCTCGACACCCTTTATCACCGTGTTTTGGGGATCCCTTTGGGGGCGCGGGACCCGGAGAGCCCTGCGGACAAAAGAGAAAGCCAGGCAAGTGAGAAAGTGGGGCACAACCACTTCTCGCAAGATCGGGCGGCTCTGTCAATCCAACGTGGTGAGCCAGTCATCTGATGGCAGGCCTGAAGTTGCAATAGCCAGTAAAAAGACGGGAGCTAAGAAGAAGATCGGAGGTGCCGTGTTAGATATGAAATCACGTTCCCCATACCTTGGAGTGATCTAGCATCGAGAGAGGAGGTCAGTGGAGTCGGGAGAGGAGTGCTCGGTGTGGCGAGAGGCGGCGACGGAGAGTGCAGAGCAGATCGCAACGGCGGAGACCCGACAAGCCGACGAGAGATACAGAGGGAGTAGGTCGCTTGTATAAAGAGCTCTGGAGGGCGCGGTGAGAGGGAGAAGAAAACAAATACCGGTGTGGCTGGCGCTGTGATTGATAAGCGAGGAGGAAAGTAAGCAGGAAATTGAACTACTGAACTTTTTTTTTGAGTGCTTCAGCGAAACAGGAAGTGTGGCCATCATTGAATCGAAGGAGTGAGATAGCAGAGGACTGACAAGGAGACGATCTAGCAGCAAGACTCACCATAGAGAAGTGTCGGAATTCATTAGGAGCGGAGAGGAGAAGACTCACGACTTCGCGAACACTATCCTTTATGTCTATATACTCATAACTAAAGGAAAAAAGTAAGAAAAAAGAGAAGAAGAAGAAGACCTCCATACCCTTACTGTATACATAATTCGGATACTCTGATACTCATTCCTCCCCCAACTCTTTTGAGTAATTGGGTTTCTAACACTTGAACTTTGGTTTTTTAAATATTATCATTAATAAGAATTACTAATTGTTAAGGAATATAGAATATAGAAATATAGAAATTAAGTGTTGATTCTACCTTGCTGTCATCAGGCATATTTACATATAAGGATCCAGATTTATAATTAACCAATTAATTAATTTATTATATTTATTCATATTTATCTAGTTATATTTATTTATTTCAGAATATTTATTCTTACGGGTAATATTAATTTACTTATATCAACTTTCTATATTAAGGCTCGAATTTAGCTATATAAGAATTACAGGTAGTACTTATCAACTTATTTATATCAACTTTTTATATTAAGGTTTGAATTTAGCTATACTAGAATCATAATATCTATTGGGATATATAGGTATAGAAATCTTGGTTCTGTAATTATATGTGAGAATTAATTTGGAACCTGGTAATGTGATTTAACCCATAAGCTTTAAACTATTAAGGAAGTTTGAGAACTTTGGTGTGCTATAAGGATTTGCTTTAAGAAAGATACTTTGATGAATTGATCCCTTCTAGTGAAGATAGTAAATCTTTTAAATAGGCTTAAGAAGTGGAATTAACAGAGGAAATAGGGGCAAAGCCTCTATTTGGAAAAATATCATTTGGAAAAATATTGAGAAAATTATAAGAGAACAAAAGCTAACTCTGAAAGAAATGGCAACAATGACATCGACAATCTTGAAATCTGGCAAAAAAGCTCCATCTAATCCTACTTTAACAATGATGTCGGTGATTCAGAAGCCCTTAGAAGGCATACAGAAGTTAGACAAGCCACCAACAACCCCAACTCTTCAAACAGTACAATCTTCTTTATCGTTGATTCAAGAGGCCATGTTAGCAATGCAGGAGAAATTGCTAAATAGTCATTCCAAATTAAAAATGGACATTCACGTTTTGGATTCAAAAATGACCGAGATTCAAGCCTCTATTGCGAACAATGAGAGAAGAATTCAAAATGTAAAACAAAGGATGGAAGAAAGTGAGAAAAAATTAGATATGGTGGACCAGACATTCGCGATACAGAATAAAGGAATCGAAGAGTCTCTGATACAATTGGAAATGGACAAGGCTTCATACTACCTTCGCTTCCAAAATATCTGCGAAGAAAAGGAAGAGGATTTAGGCAATAAAATAGCTGAGCTGATAGCGGATGCCCTTCAGCAAGATAAACAAGATATTATTAAAGAACTTGATGAGGTTTACAGGGTCCAAATGAATTATGTGAGAAGAAACAGGCTCCCTAGAGAGGTCCACATGAGGTTCGCCAGCAAGAAAGTGAGGGATATTCTAGTCAACATAGCGAGAGAAGAACAGATTGTATTTAAAGGAAAGGAGGTGAATATTCTGAAACAAATACCAAGAAGAGTGAGGGAAGTGAGGAAAAATTACAGGTTTCTGGCGAGCCGATTGAACAGAAGAAATATCATATTTAGATGGATCCTGCCAGAGGGGATGCTAGTTTCATGGCAAGGAAGAAAAATCAAAATTGATAGTTTAAGTGTAGCACAAGATTTTTTAGACCAACTAAGAGGAGGGGAAGAAGAACAAATTAGCAAGGAAGAGATCGATATGGTAAACACGGAAGAAGAAACCTCACAAGAGCAAAGCACAAAGGAAGAAATAGAGGAGGAGAAGAAAAAAGAAGAAGCAGAAGAAAAAGGAAAGAAGACTAGACCAGTAAGAGCAGTAACGTTAATGCAAACAAGAACTAAGAACCGGACACAACACAAGAAATGGACGGCTTAAAAATCTTATCCTTAAATGTTAACAGTCTAAACGACCACAAAAAAAAGGAAGATAATTCTATCAAAATTGGTAAAACAGAATCCAGACATAATTTGTATACAGGAGGTTCATATAAAAAAAGATGAGGCAAATTGTCTAGAATTTACTAAATTTGGCAAATTATTTATGTCATTAGCAGAGAAAAAGAAAAGGGGAGTGGTTATGTATGTGAAAAAAGGAACTGAGGCAGAATTAAAATATAAAGACACCAAAGGGAGAATTTTAATGGTAGAAATCAAGAGAGGTAATTCAAAAATGATGTTGGTGGGGGTATATGCCCCGAATAAAAAGCAGGGACAATTTTACAAAAAATTACATGAACAATTAGGAAATTGGGCCCATGTTGAAATATGTATGTTAGGTGACTTTAATGGTATTGTCAACCCAGAGAAAGATTATAAAAGTGGGGAAAGGAAAAAAAATAAAAGGTTACCTCTGCCAAAAAGCTTTTTTGATCTGGTGGATGAAATAAATTTAATTGATATGTGGCGTACACTACACCCGCATGATTCCCAATATACCTTTTACTCAACTTCACAGAACTCTTGGTCCAGAATTGACATGGTATGGACTGCTAGAAAACTAGGTCTAGAAATTAAGAAAGTGGATATAAGTACAAATACCTGGGCAGATCATAAATTTCTTGAAGTAAACTGGCATCATACAAATAAGAGAAAGCAACAGAGATGGAGTCTAAGGACTAACCTTTTGAATGAAAAAGAGTTTATAATTAAATTAAATGAAGAAATCAAGTGCTTCTTTATTGAGAATGGCAAGCAAGGCACGGCGAAGGAAATTGTATGGGATACCATGAAAGCATATGTGAGAGGAATAGCGATATCGCATATGGCGTTCAAAATTAAGGAAAAAAGGAAAGCTAGGGAGGCTTATAATAGGAAGCTAGAAGAAGCGGATAGTAAATTACAACAAAACCCGGGAGACGAGGTGGCTAAACAAAAATGGATGATGGCAAGGCATAATCTCAATATTCTGGATCAGGAGGAGTTGGCGCGAAAAATCAAGAGAATAAAACACTATCATTTTGAGAATGCTAATAAGTCTGGAAGGTGGCTGGCGTATAGATTAAAAAAAGAACAGGAAAAAAATCAAATTCTTACATTAGAAGATTCCAGTGGTGATATTTTGACAAAAGAAGAGGATAAATTAGAAAGAGCGAGAGAATTCTATGAAGCCTTATATAAAGATGAAGGGATTGACCCAGACAAAACTGAACAATACCTGATGGAAGCTAACCTGCCACAGATAACAGAAGAGGAGAAGGAAATGCTAAACAATAAAATCACAATAGAAGAATTTAAATTGGCTCTTACCAAAATTAAAAAAAATAAAACACCAGGCCCAGATGGTCTTCCGGGGGAAATATACACAAAATTTGAGGAAGAACTACAACTAGAATTGTTAGAAATATTTAATGAGGTTTTAGTTGGTACAAGAATCCCAGACTCTTGGAAGGAAACTTACATTACACTCATATTGAAAGAAGGTGCTGACCCGAAACAAATAGCAAATTATAGGCCCATTTCTTTACTAAACTCAGATTACAAATTATTTACAAGTATAATTGCGGAAAAACTAAAAAAAATTCTAAATGGCTGGATTCATAATGATCAGAAGGGATTTCTCCCAGGGAGACAAATGAGAGATAATCTGAGGACTGTAATAAATTTCATAGAATACTATGAGCAGCACCTGGAAAAACAGCTGGCGTTAGTGTTTTTGGATGCCCAAAAGGCGTTCGATAACCTGAACTGGAAATGTATGGTTAACCAAATTGATCTAATGGGATTTGGAACAAATTTTAGAAAGATGATCGAAAATATTTACCATAAACAGAGGGCGAGTATTCTAATAAACGGGGACAAGACGCGGACATTTTGGATACAAAAGGGAGTTAGACAGGGATGCCCCTTGTCCCCTCTACTTTTTATAATGGCGCTGGAAATTTTACTTAGAAAGATCAGAGATAACAAAGAAATTAAAGGACTGCAAATAAAGAAAGAAACATTTAAAACACAAGCCTTTGCAGATGATGTGGCCTTAATAACAGAAGATCCCTTGAAATCTGGCCCCAAATTACTCCAGGAAGTACAACAGTATGGAGAAGTCGCCGGCTTTAAACTTAATAAAACAAAAACTAAAATATTAGTAAGAAACATGACAGAGGCAAATAAGAAAGAACTAGAAAAGTCCTTAGATCTTCAGATAGTGAAGAAAATAAAATACTTGGGAATATGGATTACTTCAAGATATTCCTCTTTAAAGGAGGATAACTACATCCCATTACTACAAAAAATAAAGCAGGATATAGATAGATGGAAGAAGTTAAAATTATCCTTCACAGGTAAGATCTCAGCAATTAAGATGAACATTCTCCCCAAAATTATATTTTTATTCCAAACTATACCAGTGAATCTGGATAAAAAATATTTCCTGGATCTGAAAAAGAAGGTGCGAGACTTTTTATGGGAAGGGAAGAAGGTGAGGATTGCATATAAGACACTGCAAGGGAAAAGAAACATGGGTGGCTTTGGATTACCTGATTGGGAAGTATATCAGACGGCGGCTAAACTAGTATGGATCAAAGAATGGGTCACATTACAAAACAAGAGAATCTTGACATTAGAAGGCCACGATCTACAGGCAGGCTGGCACGCCTATTTATGGGATTTAAAGAACAAAAAAAAAATCATATTTCCATAAACACAAATTAAGGGAGACCCTTATTCAAACATGGGAAGAAATTAGGCAACGATTTTATGTGAAAGTACCAAATTGGCTTTCAATCATGGAGGCCCTGACCGCCTCAAATAAAAGAGATATTCTAAAATTTGGCACGTATAAAGACATATTAGATGATAACGGTATCCTTAAATCTCGGGAAACATTAAGAAATCAAGGCTTTAATTTAGACTGGTGGAGCTACCTACAGATAAGATCAAGATATCAAAAAGATAGGGACCAATTTGGTATAGAGGTGAAGTACAATAATTTGGACAAAATTATGTTGGGGATTGAAAAGAAAATGTTAGCGAAATTCTACAACTTTCTACTAGGCGAGGACAGGGCAGAAGGAATAGCCAGAAATCAATTAAATATTTTGGAAAAAAATATTGGTTATAGATTAAATTTCAATGACTGGGAGGAGGCCTGGAACAGAAACTACAATCTGACTAAATCAGCAACCTATAGGGAGAACCATTATAAAATTTTCCATAGATGGTATCTAGCGCCAGCTAGATTAGCAAAAATATTTCCCAGCGCCTCAGCAACATGTTGGAAGTGTGGAAAGGAGGTTGGCACCTTCTATCATATGTGGTGGTCCTGTCCCGAGACAAAAAAGTTCTGGATAAAAATACAAAACTGGTTACGAGAAATAGTGGAAGAAGAAATAGAATTATCCCCTGAAATCTTTTTATTAGGAATGATCGGAGATGGATTTTCTAAAGATAAAATACATCTTATAATACATGTTATAACAGCGGCCAGGTTAATTTTTGCAAAATACTGGAAGGACAAACTAACCCCTCCAGAGGTAATAATAATAAACAAAATTTTAGAATGCACAGAAATGGCAAAATTAACAAGTGATCTTAACAATGATGTGAACTCAAAATTCAATGCAGTATGGGAAAGGTGGTACAAATGGTGGAATAATAGAATGAGATTGTAAGGTTACGTCTATTTTCAATAATGGTAGATTCGAATGTATTCGATATGTATATAATGTATATAATGTAAATATGTAATTACACAACACCTCAGATGTTAACAGAGATTTGATGTTTTTTAAAATTTTAAAATCAATAAAGTATATTTTAAAAAAAAGACACCCTACTGAAGCTGGAAAGCAAGAAAATTCTTGCATGTGATCTTCACATTATCATGTGTAAGCTGTGTGATTCTTTGCAAAAAAAATATGATGAGCAGTTTTTTGGAATGAAAGTTTTATTTGCCTTATGTAAAAAACATTTGCCTGAGATTGCCATGCAAAAGTTCAAGAAAGAAGCCATCAACGTGTATCAAAGAGCCATTGTGTACCTAGAAAAGTGGTATAATTTCACTGATTCAGTATATGAGACACTAAATTATTTCAATCTAATTGATCGCAATAATCCTCCAACTTTAGAAGAAATGACGAACATCTGGTTATTATAACCATGGCGAGAACTTCCACCCAACACTCTAGATGAAATTTCTGCCTTAGAAGAAGTTTATGTTCATCTGCAGGGCGATTCATCCCTTGATAAGTGGACGTACTTTTTCAAGAAAGAGCCAGCTCCGAGTTTACTAAAACTGTTCCAGTATTGTACATCAATTCTGGTATCAAATGCAAACGTTGAACAAATTTTCAGCGTCATGGGAAATTTGTGGACTGACGAACGTAACCGACTGCTTGTACCATCAGTTCGAAGTGAACTTTGTATATTTTTTAATATTTCTCAACATTGTACTGAAATTAAAGAATTATTCCTTAAACACAAAGAATTGATCAAAGCTGCGCAGTCAAATAAAAAATACACACGACAGTAAAGTAAAATGTAATTTAATATTTTACATATTATTATAATATATTTGATGTTTTGAATTTTAAGTAAAGTTTTGAAGTGATTATTTTAATAGTGTTAAAATGTTTGTAAGAAAATATATAATTGTAATTTTTTTTTTTTTACTACTTAACACACACACACACACACCCCGCTTGTCCGCTATTTTTTGGAAGCAGACCTGGCAACCTAAGTAGGAAAGATATACTCAAGAAATTATGTGAAACTAAATGGGGAACTTCAGTTGTCATCCTCAGGTCATCAGTACTAAAGTTGATCTACTCCACAGTCCCTGTGCACCTGTGTAGCTTAACAGCTTCCGTATTAGGTAAGTAGATGCCAGACACAACAACACCATGAAAATTATAAGTGGATGTATTAAAACCACACCGACTTGCTGGCTTCCTGTTCCAAGTCATATAGCACTGCCGTTTTTATGAAGGCAAGATGCACTAGTGAGAGAATACAAAAAAATATGAACAACTCCTTCCTACCAGTGCATGCCAACCTTCCTCACTTATCAGCTGGAAGACTCAAATCCAGGAAGCCCCCACTGGACTTGCACGACACCTGCCCAACAACTTTAACAACTTTCCCAATTGAAAGCCAAATGGGTTGCTGAGTGTTGATATAAGTGACCTCACAAAAAAGGTACCAGGCTTTGAACTACCACATCAGCAATAGACAATCTTGCATAGGATTTGCACCTCACACAGCATTTACCAGGACTCTCTGTATAAATCACCATAGTATCTTCCTTTCAATGTGACTCTGGGGTCCTTTGTCAAACTGTAGATCACACTGTGACCAGCTGTAAGCTATGATGACCCAGGGCGTGGCACAAAAGCAACACAGCCAGAGAACAGGTCTAACTCCCTTTACTGCTCCAACTTTGCCCCCAAATGTCCCCACGTTTACTATAAGTCCTGGAGCAAAGCTCTCACATGAACCTTCAGCAGCCTCTGGCTGCAAGTAGTCCAGTAAGCAAAGTAAGCCAAAAGTAACCAGGGCCAGCAGTCCAATAAGCCAGGTTAGCCAAATAGTAACCAGAGCAAGAAGTTCAGCAAAGCAGGCAAACCAGGCCAGCCCCACAAGACAGAGCACAGTACTATCCAGGCATCGGCAAGTGCACACAAGTCTCCACAGATTCAACACTTATTCACAACAAATGCCCCTCCCACCAGCACCTCCTTACATCTCAGTTCCCAGGTGTGCCTTGTGAAGGGGGTGGGGCACTCTCCTCCCTTGTAGCCAGCTCAGTCTGCGTTGGTCTCGCCTTCTCTCTTCTCTCTGTGCTCTATGATCAGGAGGGAGGTGGTCCTTGCTCTTCACCTGAGCTCTGTCTTTCCTGCTCCTCCCTGTCTGCAAGCCTTTCTAATCCTGAAAAGCCTTGCCCGGATTGATTTTGCCCTTCCCCAGTTTCCTCCAAGGCCAACGGAGCCACCCTCTTGATCTCTGTCGGCTCTTGTTTCAGCTCATCTTCCCCTGCAGGGTTAGACTCCAACAGGGGCATAACCTGAGGGCATATACTGGTCCAGTGTCTGATTTTTTTAATATAAACCATTCTGCACTTCTGTTCGATCAGGCGCAGGAAAGGAAGACTGGACCAGCTCGATACATTAATAACTTTATTAGGTACAAAGTAACGAGTCAAGACTGCTGGCGCGCTGCCGGAGCTCTCCTTATATTCGCTCCCGGCAGGCGCACCGCCCCTTGACAGGGATACAAATCTCCCGCCCGATGGCTAGCAGCCAATCAGGGCGGATGTCCTTATAAGGACATAACACTCCTCCCCCCTTAGTCCGAACTGTCAAATCTCGTCCACAAAAGTCACGTAATCGCGCAGGTACGTAGGATGCCTCGGCACCCTAGCTGACCTGCGCAGTCTCACTTCTTCTCCGTCTCCGGCCTGGATGGACAGGGCTCCTTCGTCTCCTGGTTCCCTCTCCGGAACCGGGCTCGGTTCGGCTGTCGAGTGAGCGGGGTCACCCCCAGCGCCTCCGGCCGGACCGCAGACCTTGGATGGCTGGTTCTGTTGGTCTTCCTCCTGGCCTGTGGATCTATCGCCTCGTCTTGGTTGCTCGGTTCCGACCCGGGAAGAGCGTCTGAGTCTCGGTAAGTCTGTCGCTTGCTCCTCCCTGGTCTCCCGGGCGATGCAGTTCGGTCGCGGTCCGGCTTGCTGCTGGTTGGGTGGTGGTTCCGCTCGGTGCCCTCGGGTCCGGTCCGCCAGCTGTGGGTGGTGCTGGTTGTCGTTGTGCTGTCCGACCTCGCAGGGGTGGCGTTGGGCCCCTCGGTTGGGCTGGTGTTGGTCTACCCCGTCTGGTTGGTGGTGGTCGACCTGGTCGGGACGTTGTTGCGGGACTACCTCTGCGGAGCGGCGGAGGTCTCCCCTGCCGGGGTGGTGTAGGTCTCCTTGGCCGGGTTGTTGTTGGCTTTCCCTTCCCCCTAGTCCCTGGTCTACCGTCGGGTGGTGCCTGGGGTCATCCGGGTCGGGTTGTTGTTTCCTGGCTGTCTTCTGCGATGGGCGGGGGTCCCTCTCGCCGGGGAGTCGTATGCCACCCTCGCCCATGGGTAGTGGGTTGCCCGTCTTGGCTGGGTCCCGGTCTACTCGCCTGGAACTGCGGTCTCCCTGGCTGGGCTGGCGTCGGCTGTCGTCACTGGTGGGGTGCGCTGCTCCTTCTCTGGGCAGGTCCCGGTCTACTTGCGGCCTGGGTTGGTAGTCCCTGGCCCTGTTGTGCCGGGTGCCCACCTGGCTGGGTTGGTGTTGCCATCCCCCGTGCGGTTGGCCCCGGTCTACCTCGCTGGACTGCCGATGTGACAGTACCTGGTAGTGTGCCGGGCCGACCTTGTCGGGATGGCGTTGCTCTGCCTCGCAGGGGTGTGGTAGGCCTACCTCGCCTGGGTGTGGTAGGTCTACCTCGCCGGGGTGTTGGAGGCCTACCTCGTCTGGGTGTTGTAGGCCTCCCTCGTCAGGCTGGTTTTCGTGTGCTCCCCCCCACCTTTTCCGGAGTTGGTCGATGTGACGTCTACAGACCTGTCCATCTTCCAACTCGACGGTGTAGGATTTGGGGCCGGTTGTGCTGGCAATCTTCCCCTTCAGCCACTTAGGAGAGCCGTTGAAATTCAGCGCGAAAACTGAATCTCCGTTGCTGAAGGCGCGAAGCGGGCGGCTGGCGGTTGCGGTCACTTCCGGGCTGTATTGGGGGTGCAGCCGGTCCAAGGGTGACCTCAACCTTCTGCCCATCAGCATTTCGGCCGGGCTCTTGTGGGTGGTGGCATGTGGCGTGATGTGCTGGGTGAGGAGGAAGTTGTCTATGCGTTCTTGCCAGTCCCCCGGGCCCATCTTGGTGAGGGCTTCTTTGGTCAGTCTGACCATGCGTTCAGCTTGTCCGTTTCCGGCCGGCCTGTAAGGGGCGGACAGGGCGTGGCGGATGCCCAGTCCTGCCAGGAAGGACTCCATGGCCAGGGATGTGAGCTGGGGGCCATTGTCCGAGACCAGCACGTCCGGTAGTCCATGTGTGGCGAACAGGCGGCGCAAGGCTCGGATCGTCGCTTCTGTTGTGGTAGATGCCATGGGTACCACCTCGAGCCACTTGGAGAAGGCATCTACCACGATGAGGAGGTGTCGCCCCTGCATCGGACCCGCGAAGTCAATGTGGATCCTCGACCAGGGGTTGCTGGGGGTCTCCCACTTTGCGACTTCGGATTGCGGCGGTGCTGGGCAAACTTCTTGGCACGGGTCACATCTGGAGACCCATTGCTCAATGTCTTTGTCCATGGAGGGCCACCAGACGTAACTCCGTGCCAGGGCCTTCATGCAGACGATGCCCGGGTGCCCTTTGTGCAGAGTCTCTAACGTCCGCCGTTGCAGAGTGCTTGGAATCAGCACCCTGTCTCCCCATAGCAGACAGCCCTTTATGGTGGACAGCTCCTTCTGTTTCCTGGCAAACGGGCTGAACTTTTCCTCTGGCTTTTCCGATGGCCACCCTCTGAGGATCCAGGACTTCACTTGGCGGAGTGTGGGGTCCTTTTGGGTGTGCACGGCCACATCTGCGGATGACACCGGACAGCTGGCGTCGTTGTCAATATGGAATAGGTGGAGCGTGGGGGGTGGGTCTTCGACTGGATTTTTCGACGGACATCTGCTGAGCGCGTCGGCGTTTCCTATGGCTGTGCCTGGCTGGTGCACGAGCCGGTAGGAGTAGCCGGCTAGGAAGATGGCCCATCTCGTCATCCGTGGAGACATGAAGGTCGGGGTGGGTTGGTCGCCTGCAAGGAGTCCCAGGAGTGGCTTGTGGTCGGTGACTATGGTGAAGCGTCTTCCGTAGAGGTATTCGTGGAAGCGCTTCACTCCAGCCACGATGGCCAGGGCTTCTTTGTCCAGCTGACTGTAGTTCCGTTCTGCGCCGGACATGGTCTTTGAGAAGTAGGCAATGGGGGCTTCCGTGCCGTTGGGCAGTTCGTGGCTGAGGACTGCCCCCACCCCATACGGCGACGCATCACAGGTCAGCTTGATGGGCAGCGTCTCACTGTATTGAATGAGGACGCTTTTGGACGTCAGTAGTCCCTTGATGGCCCGGAACGCTGCTTCCTCTTCCTGGCCCCACTTCCAGGAAGCCGATTTCCCCAGCAGGCGGTGGAGTGGCTCAGCAACTGTGGCTTTCTGTTTTAAGAAAATGGCGCAGAAGTTGAGCAACCCAAGGAAAGCCTGAAGCTCCGTTTTGTTTTTTGGGCTTGGAGCTTCATGGATTGCTTCCACTTTTGATTTGATGGGGTGAATGCCAGTGCTATCAATGAGATAGCCCAGGAACTCGACTTCCTGTACTCCTATGATGCACTTGTCCCGTCTGACCCTCAAGCCCTTGGCCTTGAATCGCTGCAGGACAAGCCTGAGCCTTTCAAGGAGTTGAGCTCTTGAGTCACCGGAGATGAGCACATCGTCGAAGTAAGGCACCACCCCTGGAACGCCTTGGAGAAGGCGTTCCATCATAGATTGGAAGATGCCGGGGGCAGCGCTGACTCCAAATTGGAGGCGGTTACATTTGAATGCCCCCCTGTGCGTGACAATTGTTTGTGCCTCCGCCGTTTTTTCATCCACTGGCAGTTGCTGGTAAGCCTGGGCCAGGTCCAGTTTCGCGAAAATTGAGCCAGACCCCAGGGAATGCAACAGGTGTTGCACCACTGGGACTGGGTATGCGCTTTGTGCCAACGCCTTGTTGATGGTACAACGGTAGTCGGCGCAGATGCGCACAGACCCATCATGCTTCAGTGGGGTCACAATGGGAGTCTCCCATGAGGCATGATCGATCGGTTCCAGGATGCCCTGGGCGATCAGCTTATCCAGCTGTTCGTCTACTTTAGGCCGCAGGGCGAACGGAACTCGGCGGGGCTTAAGCCTAATTGGGGTGATTCCCTTATCCAGATTAAACGAGATTGGCCTCCCCACAAATCTCCCCAGCTTACCATCGAAGACTTCCTTGAACTCTTCGATGATGGTGTCGAGTTCGTCCCTGTGGATTTCGTGGATGCCCTCGATGGAAAGCCCCAGCGGCTTAAACCACTCCACACCTAACAGGTTCGGTCGACTGTGCTCCACGATCGTGATGGGCAGCTCTCCGTTGAACTCGTTGTACTTGATGTGGATGGTGGCCCTGCCCAGGATTCCAATGGGGTTCCCGTTGAAGTCCACAAGCCTCGACTTTGGGGTTTTCAGCTGGGCCTTTTTGTAGGATGGCTTCAGCTGCTTTAGGTGCTGCCAGTCCATGATGGAGTAGGCGGATCCAGAGTCTACCTCCATCTTGCACGGTGACCCCTCTGCCAGCAGCGTCACATGGAATTTGGTGGACCCCTCGTCGCTTGTGTGAGCAATGATGGTGGTCTGGTGCACCGTTCTGTTTCGGGGATATTCCTCCTCCCCGCGCCGGGACTGGGTTGAGGACCGTTTGGATGTCCTCTGATTGTCTTTGCGATTCTCCTGGAATCGTGGTCTGAGCGGTTCCGGGGCTGGATCTGTGGCTCTGCAGGCCTCGGCGATGTGCCCCCTCTTCAGGCATCGGCGGCAGGTCGCGTCCCTCCATCTGCAGTTTGCCCTGGGGTGGTCGCCTCTGCAGCTGCCGCATCGTTCTCCCCGGTCGCCATGCTGTGGGTTTTCCCGCCTGGGGGGGCGGGAAACCTTGTGGACGGCCATTTCCTCATCAGACTCGGATTGCGTGGTTGCCTCGTCTGATGAGGTCAGGCCCGACTTGTGGATCTTATGGATCCCTCTTGCTTTTACCATTGCGGCGGCTGCTTGCTCAGATGTTTCAGCCGCTGTTGCTTCGTCGAGGACGTCTTTGAGCGGGATCCTCTTCCGGCTGAGGAACTTTTTCTGCAGCCCCACATCTCTCATGCCAAAAACAACGCGGTCTCGGATGGCATTGTCCACGTTATCGAACTCGCAGTTGGCAGCGAGTTGGCGAAGCGCTGCCACGAATTCCTTGACGGATTCACCTTCCCGCTGGTTTCTTTGCTGGAAGGTGAACCTGTTCGCGATGGGGGTGCCTGTAGGTGCGTAATGCTCCTGTAGGACTTCCTGCAGGTCGTTCCAGGACATCTCCTCAATGTCCCTGGGTGCCACGAGGTCAATCGCCATCTCTAGGACGTCCGATCCACAATGAGCCAGGAAGAGGGCTCTTTTCCTCTCATCGTCGAGGTTCTGGTATCCATTGCCTCGCAGGAACTGCCGGAATCGGACCATGTATGACCTCCACTTCTCCCGGGCTGGGTTGAATGGGTTCAGCGCGGTCATCGGGGCTTGCGGGGTAGCCATTCTGGAAGTCGCTGTGGTGTAGTGACTTCAGCTTGGTTGGGCGATCGTGCCAAGAGTCTTGTTCTGGTTCTTCTCTCTAGTCCTTCGTCGCCAGTGTTCGATCAGGCGCAGGAAAGGAAGACTGGACCAGCTCGATACATTAATAACTTTATTAGGTACAAAGTAACGAGTCAAGACTGCTGGCGCGCTGCCGGAGCTCTCCTTATATTCGCTCCCGGCAGGCGCACCGCCCCTTGACAGGGATTCAAATCTCCCGCCCGATGGCTAGCAGCCAATCAGGGCGGATGTCCTTATAAGGACATAACAACTTCAATGGTTAGATGACCTAGACATTGGTATTTGAATATAAATCTTTATCACATTTGTATTTTTATTGTGTTCTCTCTAATCTAGATGAAATATTAATATATTTTGCTAGTGCCATGCATGATATGCCTTATGCTAAATAAACTGTGTCCTGTCATACTCAGAAGCAGGCAAATGTCAAAGCATATTGGGTAACATCACAATTCAAATCACATAACTTATATACTTGTTTGTGATATCACAACATGAGTACAAAAGTCAGAGTTTATGCCTTAACATTATTAACATTTCATCATATTTGTATCATGATAGTTTCTACCAGATCTTCATTTCATTTCAATTTATTTGTTTATTTGATTGTTTGTTTGTTTGTTTGCCACTCAACTCTTTGCAAGGCAACACTGGGCAGCTTAAATCATATTCTGAACTTATTATATTCCCCCCCCATACCCCTGGGCAGTATCCCAGTGGTGGGTTGCCCCCGGTTTGGAACGGTTCTATAGAACCGGTAGTAAAACCAGCGGGAGGCTCTGCCCACTGACCCTGATGTCATCAGAAGCAATCTGCGCATGCGCAGAAGCAAGGTGCGCGCGCGATCCCGTTGCGACCGGTAGTAAAGATAAGTAGAACCCACCCCTGCAGTATCCTATGTGCATTGATGTGAGAGCAGTAAGATTACCTAATAGAGTAGGATTACTCTTAAATAACCATGCCTATCATTGAGCCAGATGGTATTAATATAAAATTGAATATGTACAAATCAGTACTATTCAATTTTCTTAAAGAGAACCAAATGTAATATTTGTAAAATCAGACAGACTTTGCCCATCAGTGAATCAACCACCAGTTGTAATACAGGTAGTCCTTGCTTAATGGCCCGTTATTTAGCGATCATTTGAAGTTATGATACACCTTCCCAGAGCTACTTAAGATCTGATTCCAGATTTCTGACAGCCACACACATATCCCCATGGCAATGTGGTCACATTTTGGGCACTTAGCAAACGGCTCACCTTTATGGCCATTTGCAGTATCCCACAGTCAGGTGACCACATTTTTCTGCATTTTTTTCTGGTTTGCTTCTGATTTCCAGCAAAAAATGCTGAACAAGTGGAAGAAAATGGATTTGTTTAATGACTGCTTTTTTCTTAATGACAGTAATATTCACTTAATGACCACCATATTTGCTTAATGACTATGGCATTTACCTAACACCACCAGAATAAAGGTTGAAAAATTGGGTGCAGTCATGTAGTGACCCACCTAACACTGCTATGACTTGAGATTGTAATTCCAGGCTCAATTACAATTGTAAATTGAGGACTATCTATATGTTTTTAATCTCCTGTTTTGCTTATACTTATTTTAATTTTTAAGTGTTCTTGTATCTGTTCTTTTGTGAACTGTAATAAAAATTTGATTCTATTCTGAAAAGAATTTTGCCACAGTCTTTAAACTAATTATTAAAAAAAATCTCTGCATGCACACATGGGAAATACAATCTTATATGACATTTATTTTTCTTTTCTTATTTTTTTTTAATATACTTTATTAAATTTTTCCATTATAAAAGAAAGAAAAAAAAGATATACAATCTCTATCTCCTTCAGAGGTACAGTGTTTATACAATTTACGGAATCATACGTCAAATAAACTTCATCCTTAGCTGTTCAATATTCTATGCAATATAGCTCGTACTTCGAGTGCATAACAAGTCATATCCTAAAATCATGTTTTTGTCTTGTTCTTCAACCAATTGTACCAATATTTTTCTTTTCTTAATATCTGCTGAATTGTTACTCAAATTTATATCTGGAGAAATTATTTCTAGAGAAGTGATAGTGCTTGCTAACTACAGTTAGTCCTCGACTTATAACAGTTTATTTAGTGATTGTTCCAAGTTGCAATGGCATCAAAAAAAATGACTTAGGACTGTTTTTCACACGTACGACGACCATTGTAGCATCCCTATGACTATGTGATCAAAATTCAGATGCTTGGCAACTGACTCACATTTAACACGGTTGCAGTATCCCAGGGTCCTTCTAACAAGCAGTCAATGGGGAATCCAGATTCATTTAACAACCATGTGACTAACTTAATAACTTCAGTCACTTAACAACTGTGGCAAGAAAGGTCATAAAATGGGGTCAAATTCGCTTAACAAATGTCTTGCTTAGCAGCAGAAATTTTAGGCTCAATTGTGGTCGTAAATTGAGGACTACCTGTATATCTCAATTCAATGTAATAATCAGAAAAATATTCCTTTCAATAGAAGTCATGCCATCCTATAAATGTCTAAGGTTCTAGGTTCCAGCTAAGTAATGATAATGGGATTATCCTGCTTAATTATACACACTATTGAAACTTTAAAATATTAATTCTGGTTTTTATTCATTTTTAACCTACCATAAAATGGTAGCATTCTTTGCTGTACTATATTTTTTAAGTTAATTGCCTTGCCTGTGAGTTTTACTACAGTAGTTAGTTCATATAGAAATTTCTCAGGCTCATGATAGATCAGCAGATATAGAAAGTTCAGTGCTACTATCATCAGTCATCTGTGGAAAGAAATATTTTTCATACTATTTCATGTGTACCCATCTGAGCACAGTTCATTTTGCTATGCACTGTCCATACACAGTAGATGAGCACAATGAAATTCCTATAATTTATGCTGTATGTATGCTAGAACATGCTCTAAAGCACAGTGATACTAAATGATCTCTTGCCACAGTCTTGCTCCTGATGAAACTAGTTATTTAAAAAAATCTCTGCGTGCACACATGGGAAATATAATCTTACATTACATTTACCTTTCTTTCCTTAATATCTGCTGAATTGCTACTCAAATTTATATCTGTTTTTTATATATATATAATTTACAAGTTATCTTCTAGAGAAATGATAGTGCTTGCTAACTATATCTCAATTCAATTTAATAATCAGAAAAATATACTATTCAATAGAAACTGGTTAGAATTGGTGTCCACTGATATTAATATGTTTGTGATTATCTCATTACTTATCTAGCTCTGCTCCACTGATTTTTATTTTAAAAACTTGTTTTTAACTTTAAAAAGATTGAGAAACTATGTATAAAGGTAACAGTTTTTAGCATTAATCAAGAATAGACATTCTTAGAAAATAAAAAAATGATGGATACAATTGAGTAACTTGCTGTGAAACATATCTATCTTCCTAGAAGAAAAGCTGTAGTATGTCTTGCTGAAAATCCTGAGATGCAAACAAGCATTACCTAACTACGGCACAAACATGCTTTTATACAGGTAGTCCTTGTCTTACGACCATTCATTCAGTAACTGTTCAAAGTTACAGCAGCATTGAATGAAGGGACTTTGGACCAATTGCAAAGCTGTTGCAATGTCTCTGCAGTCATGTGATCAAAATTTCGACACTTGATTGCTCAGCCAGATTTATGACTGCAATGGCACTTCAATTCCTCTTACCTGCCTATCTCTCCCCATCTTTTGGTCCCCTGTCCCTCTGCGCACTATCGCTTGACAGACATGCTGTGGCTTGTATAAGGCAAGTCTTCCTCCCACTGCAACATGCAGTCTCCTACACATCTGTCAGCTGATAAATCATAGCTGACAGTCACATGGAGAGGAGGTAGAACACTGTGGCCA